CACAACATCCTTTTTGGCCTTGTGCAAAAATGAGTTACAGTCAAATTAATTTATTGCACGTGTATATTGGTTGAGATTTCCAAGGGATTTACACACATTTTTCTGTTTCATTTAATGGAAAATAAGTGTTTAAAACCCCTTTCCTGTTTTGAGAATCTCAGCCATTGTGTCTACCACTACTGATATTTGGAAGCAGAGCCTGCAGTTAGCTGCAGCACTTATTGGAGGAGATAATCATTTAACCCTTTATCATCTTCTCTCTCAAAAGCCTCACATTGCAGCCACAAGCCTTCTGATCCTCAACTAGTAATATTCCTCTGTCTCTGAAGCTGGCCAGTGCTGTTCCCATCTTCAGTCTGAGGAGATCACTCAAGAGACTTGAGGTGACCTCGAGAGCTGGGTGGGAATGGGATTTTCCAATTCACGGAGAAGTCTGTGATTCTGAATTTTTTCCTATTCTGAACTGGAATGAAAACAAAAAAAATTGAAAATTTCTATGAAACAAGGTTTAAATAAAATTGAAATAGTTTGCTCCAATTTTGACTTGTTTTATATTATATAATATATTTTATTATATAAAATAAAAAAATCAAATGAGAAGTAGTTTTGAAATGGAACATCAAAATATTCAGTCCTGAAAAGGTCAAAATGGAAAATCTTATCAGAACCCTCCATTCCATTTTTTTTTTCAAAAATAAAGTTTTTTGGAAAACAGCATGTTGCCATGAAATGTTTCGCTTTTGCTGAATCTGCATTTTCTGACAGAAAACCATTTCATCAGAAAATTTCTGACCAGCTCTGTCACCTCCCTCCACTGAAATTGAGCTTATTTGCAGATTGTGACCAGAATTTGGCAATTTGAAGACTGGTCTGATTGTGAAACGGCTTATGTTACTTGTAGGTTCTGTAAGAATAACTTGCACTGCCATCATAGTGACTTCGTGCCTGCATGTATGTTTGAGACTTTCTTTTTCTGTGCACAGACATCAAGATGTTCTTTTTGATCACTGGTCCAGAACCAGTGCTGGGTAAAAGTGAGTTACTGGTCCTCTGAGCATTCATACAGGTCTGCCCTGGCTGGCCATAAATCTGGTGCATCTGTAGAGGGCTAAGGAAAAAGCTTGCCAGTTTAACTTCTCTTCTCTGATGCCATGGTGCTCAGCTGAACTGTGAGCATCTGTTGATCCCCCCCAGGGAAGCACAAATGAACACCCCCAAGCTTCTCAAGGAGCAGGTAGCCCTCTAGTGAGTGAGACAGGGAGTAAGAGAAAGCCATCATGCGGGGAAGGGGAGGAGAGCCCTCCGCCCAAAAGAAACACTACAGAAAAAGAAGACAGAAAGTAGAAAAATTCACAGTCGTGATAAGAGAAAAGACCATGGCCTTATCTACACTACAAAATTAAGTCAACCTAAGTTAGGTTGACGTACAGCCACCACAGTAATTACTGCAGTAATTAATGTCCACGCTATGCCCCCTCTGTTGGTGGTGCTTGTCCTCATCAGGAGCGCTTCCACTGACTTAACTGTAGGGGGCGTAGTGAGGCACTGACAACTGGAGCCTCCCAACCCACCCTGGTGCTGACAGCCGGAGCTGTGAGCCCCATGCAGTGTGTTTCGCAGCCAACAGGTGATGTAAGTAATGCAGTGGACACTGCATTGCCCTAACTACATGGACCTAAGTGCTACACCTCTTGTGGAGGTGGAGTTATTAGGTCAGTGTAGTGGGCAATTTATATCGGTGGGAGCAATGTTGTGGTGTAGACTCCTACAGTTAGATCAGCATAAGCTGCCTTACGTTGACCTAACCCTGTAGTGTAGACCAAGTCTTAGAAAAAGACAAGACAGGGAGAGATTAGGGACAGAAGAAAGAAGAGAAGGTGCTAACTGTGGAAGGTACAACACAAAGGTTTAATGGACAGTGAGGGAACCCTTCTGCCAACCTATCACAAAACCTTGTGACAAAACAAGGTTGAAGATCACAAGTATAAGGTGTGTATTTCTAGCTTTAGTACAGCGCTACCCAAACTTTTAAAAGTTTTAAAGCACACACCCTTCAGGAAAATGAAACCAATTCTATCCTCCTTGTAAACCTAACCTGTTGCTAAAGGTCTACCTATCTTGATGTATGCATCTTCCCTGCCTCCACCCTGTGAAATACTTTAAATGTCTACAGTGTTAACTATAGTTGGCATTTGAGTTCGCATGCATTGAAATCACTGGGGCAGTAGAGCTATTGTCTCAAGTTGTCTGTAAACTCAGGCAGATATTGCTGCATCAGTACACTTGGATCAAATTTTGAAGGTTTTCTTTCTTATTGTAAGAGCTAAAGACTAAGGCCTTGTCTGCATTCAAAAGTTGAATCACTTCAACAATGCCAGTATAGTTGAAGCGGTATAGCCACCCTAATGTGGACACAGTTATACTGGGATGAAGGTGCTTTTTACCCTATAACTGACTCTTATGGGTGTAAGAGCTAGTCTAACTGTATAGCTGTAAGAGCAAGTCCTCTAATGGAGATGCAGCTGATACCAGTAAAAGGAGTCCTGATTTTCCCTGCAGGAGCAGTCCTAGCCATTTTGCTGGCCACAGCAGGAAACATTTTTGCCCCAAGAGGCCAAGCCAAAACAGCCCCCAAAGCTGAGTGGCACAGCAGTATGGTGCCACCTGGAAGCTGGCACTCAGGGAGACTGCCCTGGTCGCCTGTCCCTAGACTTGGTTCTGCCTCCCTGGGTGACATAAACTATATCAGGAAAGTGACTCCTGTCAGTAGTTGTGCCTACGCAAAGGGGGTTGCTATGTCAGTTGTGGTGTGATTATTTCCCCCCTCACATTCCTATCCCACGTAGTCATGCTGGCAAAATTTGCAGTGTAGAGTGGGTCTTAAGTTATATTATTTTGGCACCTTTATACTGGCATAACTGCATCTACACTGGGGGCTGTACTAGTATAACTATTTCAGTGAAAAATCACACCCTTAATAGAAATGGTTACAAAAGCTGTGTGTGGACCAGGCAGATTTTTTAAGTGAAATCTGAAACTAGTGAAAAATGTAGACATCTGTCCCAGCTACTCTTGCTAGTCATTTGTGCCTCCCCAAATGGGGCATGCCTCATGCTTTGAGAAGTGCTGCTCTAATGATTCATGATTATGAATCTTGAAACTGTCTCTGGCCCCCCTAGTGGTGGTTTTTTGACATGGGTTCAGGACTGAATATAGCAAGTCCCAGGCCTCGGGTCAGTATAATTTCCATTTGCTGCCATCCTCTTGTTTCATATTGTTTTTTAAAATAAAATGTATTTATGTCCAGTGTTTAATGCTCACTTGTTTTTCCCCAAAGATGGGTTCAGGGATTCACAAACAGGAATGTTGGTTTTGTCAATAACAAGACTATCTGCTACCCCTGTGGCAACTACATCCTTTTTGTTGACATTGAAACAAAGAAGACGACAGTGCTGAAGTGTAAGAATGGCCACGTTGGAGCCTTTGCAGTGAATGGGAACAGTCAAGTGGTGGCTTTTTCAGACCAGAAGCTAAATCCTGTCATCTATATCTACACTTTTCCAGGACTTGTTAAACGGTCAGAAATAAAAGGTAGTGATGGGGGTTTCCCTTCCTGGTTCCTATTCCATTAAAATAAATACTAAATAACCATCTTGTGAAGGGCATTTTGGTAAGAACAGAAACCTCTTAAAATAGCATGGCAGAAAGGTATCTAATGACAGGAGAGATGCAGGGAGTACTATAAAGATCCATGGACTGCTTTCAAATAAAGACCCAGATCTGCAGCCCTTCGATCCACTAGAATCCCATTGAATTTGTAAGCATGGCTAAGAGCTGAATGAGAGGGCAATATTAAGGGCTAATGCTGCATCTGTGGAAGTCAGTGAGATCTTTGCAATGGATTTCAGTGGGAACAGGGACTGACCCTGAGTCAGCAGTGCTGGCAGCTTGATTAAAATACCTTGTATTAATATTTGATCTTTTCCTTCTGAATAAGGCAATTAAAGAAACACACACAAGGATTTTCTCAGTAGGCAAAGAAGTTCTCATTGTATTTGGGTTTTTTAGGGCATCTGCTTCTGAAGAAGTTGGTTTTTAATGTCCTATCTTGATTAGGAAAATTCCATATTTCTTACTCCATAGAAAGAAACATTGGTTTTGCCACTTCTTACCCTGTTTTATTACTGGGTATATTTCTCTGGAGTACCATACCTCATGGGCTGAGTTAATCACTTGAAGAATGATGTCTGCCTCTCTGTCCTCACAGTGGATTCTTTCAAACTATAGAAATATGAATGGGTCAGCTAAATTCTTTAAAATGCAAACATAGCAGGCAAAGGTCAGCCTTTCTCTAATTAGAGGAGTGTATTTTGCTTAAACCTTAAGACTAAGAGCCTAAAGACTCTTCCTTAAATTTGGTATGCCAGGCACAGACTCAACGAGTTGATAATCATTTAGGAGTAAAAAACACATTATATGTATAGCTTGGTTAACAACAACTAAAGGGGAATATGGCAGTAAACATTTAAGGAGTGTGAACAGCAAAGCAGGAGTGGAGGATTTTAATGGGATGAAATTAATTAAAAGAAAACATAGGCTGAAGAATGGGAAAAATTTCCTACCAATGAGATTTATTAAACTGGAGCAGTCTCCCAAGGAAAGTGGTGGAAATCCTGTTGTTTGAGACAGCTCAGTTGATGGTCTTGTGGCTAAAGGATTGGAAGTTAGGAAATTTGGTTTATATTATTGCCCATTCCACAGTCTTCCTGTGTGATCTTGAGCAAGTCACCTAACCCTCTATCCCTCCGTTTCCAAATCTGTTGAATGGGGATCTTAATACTTCCCTACTGCAGGGAGTAGCTGGTGAATAAATTAATGTTTGTAAAGCACTTTGAGATCCTTGGAGGGAAAGCACCATAAAAGCACAAAATATTAATAAAACTAGATGGAAAAGCCCAGGAGAATGTTACATAGGGGGCAGTTGTGTTGGCTTGGATTGCAGGGGTGAGTGGAGATATACCTATCTCATAGAACTGGAAGGGACCCTGAAAGGTCATTGAATCCAGCCCCCTGCCTTCACTAACAGAACCAAGTACTGATTTTGCCCCAGATCCCTAAGTGGCCCCCTCAAAGATTGAGCTCACAACCCTGTTTTTAGCAGGCCAATGCACAAACCACTGAGCTATCTCTTCCCCCTCGCCCCCTGATATATGTGAGGACTATTCCATTTCTAGAATAGAACGATACAAGCAGTTTTATATCCGATTTTTGTTTTTTTCCCTTAAAAACTGTAATGAAAATTCTTTGTATAATCAAATCAAACTGAGTAATCATGGATGGAGCAAAGCATCAAGCTTGTGGTTGTCCAAAGTGTAGCCTAAGGCTAATTAAAATCCTTGCTATTAATTTTATATTTTAGGGCAGGCACAGCTGGACTACTCTTTACTTGCATTCAGTTACGTGGGTCCTTATCTGGCCAGTTACTCTTCAGTCCCAGAATTTGCTCTTTCAATATGGTAAGTATCAGACATGTTCCTTTAATACTGGGTACTTTAGATGAAGGTTTTTGTATGAGCACTCCTTGAGCAGAGCTTCAATTCACTGACTTGCCAAGAGAAACCAGTAAGGCCAAATGATGCCTTAGCTTCCTCCTTCCTCTCTGATCTGCCACTGTCCGCAAACATTCTCTGCCTGAATTGACTTGCATTGAGTAGTGTGGAAAACTTCATATAAGATTTATTGTTATTTTGCCATAGTTAATTTCCAGACTGTTTTCTTCAAGATTTTACATTTTGATATATTTATAACAGGAAAATAAGCCTTTCCACCACTTAATTATGTGAACAGTCCTGGAAGCTGACTGCAGCGGTAATTGTGAGAGAAAGTTGCCTGCTAGCCAGAAATTGCTGAGTTCTAATGCTGATGCTGACTCTCTCAATGGTCCTAGGCAAGCCATTTAACAGCCCTGCTGAGCTACTCCCTCTGTAAAATGGGGATAATGAATCTTAATTACTTCATGGGGCTTATATGAGGATTAATTAGTTAAAGTTTGTAAAGCAGATTGGGGATATAAAATGCTTTGTAAATGCTACGTACACCTCTACCTCGATATAACGCTGTCCTCGGGAGCCAAAAAATCTTACCGCGTTATAGGTGAAACCGTGTTATATCGAACTTGCTTTGATCCGCTGGAGCGCGCAGCCCCGCCCCCCCGGAGCGCTGCTTTACCGCGTTATATCCGAATTCGTGTTATATCAGGTCGCATTATATCAGGGTAGAGGTGTATTTGTTTTCCCATAAAAAGCCTCAGCACTCCAATCAAATCCCTGAGAATTCCCAGTTTCTTTGTCTCTTAAAACACCACCACCCTTGTCACAACTTCCAGCTGAGAATAGGAAAGGGGCTTTAAAGCCCCCACCACTCTTTCATTGTCCTGAGGGTCAAAGTATCCATGCAATCACCTCAGCAGGATCAACTTTCACAGCACTCCCAGCTTTGGAATGAAGAAACCTGGACTAGCACTTGAAGCCAGGCATCTTTCATAGCTGTGCCAAACAGCACTACATGAGGTGCTTGAGCCACTCGGTCGGATTGTTTGCAGCTTCAGTGCCATGAAAAGACATATGGTGAGATTGGTTGAGGATAATGAAAATAGAACTCATGGTTTATTTTTTAAGTTGCTCTTCGTGAGCAACTTAAATCCTGCCTCTACCTTTGTTTCTGGAGTGGTTCCACTGGTAGTGAAACCTGCACAGCACAGGGAGGGAGGATCCTGGGGTGGGCAGGCAGGCATGCACAAGGAGTGCCTATCCTATGTACACCTCAGCTCCAAGAGACCCTTGCCTATACAGGGGCATGTGAGGGGTGAGAAGGCGACTGCCACCTTGAGTGATTGGTCCATCAGCCCTCACAGAGAGAGCGCCGATCACAACACATCATTTGTGGTGCTCTAGCCAGTCCTTCAGCCACATGCTGGCCAGGCTGCCAGTGGCACTGGATACCCGATTGGCATAGAGCATCGCACCCCAGAACCTCTGAGCAATCCGCCAGCCTCAGCCTCCCAAGTGGCTGGGATTACAGGCACACACCACCTCACCCAACCCGCTGCAGTAATAATAAATAATAATAATAATGATTCCTCTTCTCAGTCCCCAATGGAGAAGAATAACATTCATCACATACTCTAGCTGTGCGATTCAGCTCAGGATTTAGGCCGAAACATGCTTTACAACAGATAAAGCACGCCAACCAGACAACTGACTCTCTGTCTTGAAGAGCTTACAGTCTAAAAGGCAAGAACAATGACCATTCAGAACTGAATTAACATGGTTGGCCCAGTTTATGCCTTGTGTACACTTTAAAAGTTCCACCAGTTTGAAAGATTCTGCCAGTCCAGTAAGATAGGAAATTCCACTGGAAATGGTGGAACCTTTCAAAGTAATGGAACTTTCTAAGGCCATCTGCTTTAAGTTTATTTAATCAGCAAAGTGACCCCAGAATGAATTTGACCCCCAACAGCTAGTTGTCACAAAGGAATGACCCACAATTTAAGTCTGAAACAATTTAATAAAAAAAACAGGATGTTGTTATAATACTAGGCTTTGGTCCTGCTATGAGCTCCACTCAGTGCACCTGTGTGGAGTTCATTGCAGAGTCAGGGCCTTCATCTATGCAGTCTGCACACTGTTGGGTAATCATTCTTCCTACTTTGGGTACACAGAAATAATATTTTATGGGGTAAAATAGAGCAGAATATGTTTAGTATTGTTCTGTGATTTCAATATGATGTTTGTGCAATGTCTATCTGTATTGTAATCCTCAAATTGTTTGCTATGCACAGATAAAAGAGATTTTTTTTAAAGTTAGCTTGGGCTTGAAGTATAGGAAGCTTGTGGATAATGAAAAGCTGCTTTTCATGGGAGACATTTTATCCCTAGATCTTTCTTCTGTTCAAAGCAATGGCTCAGTGCCAGATGCTTTTTCAGACACATGCACCATATCACATCATATCTTAGTAAATTAGCTACTACAAAAGAAGCTTGGCACAGCTTGCTATGTAGCAGAACACACTGACAGATCTTTAGGGAGAGAGCTACACTAACATCCTTTTATGCCAGAATTTCACCTTCTAACTTCCTTTAATATTAATGGAAATTACTGAACATGTGTTAATACTAGTGCATCAAGATAAAATACACCCCTTAAATCATGTTTTGTTTCCCAACACCCATTTTTTCCAGTGTGATATTAATGTTAATAATTTTCTTGCATCCTGATCAATATCTATAAATGAATTTGTCACAAGCTAAACCAGCAGGATTATACTAAACTCCTATACCAGGGATCGGCAACCTTTGGCCCGCAGCCCGCCAGGGTAAGCACCCTGGCAGGCCGGTTTGTTTACCTGCCGCGTCAGCAGTTTCGGCCGATCGCGGCTCCCACTGGCTGCGGTTTGCTCCTCCAAGCCAATGGGGGCTGTGGGAAGCAGTGTGGGCCGAGGGATGTGCTGGCCACTGCTTCCCGCCACCCACATTGGCCTGGGATGGCGAACCATGGCCAGTGGGAGCTGCGATCGGCCGAACCTGCAGACGCGGCAGGTAAACAAAACAGCCCGGCCAGCCAGGGTACTTACCCTGCCGAGCTACATGCCAAAGGTTGCTGATCCCTGTCCTATACAGTAGCATCTCCATCCTTAGAGGTTTTTAAGGCCTGGCTTGACAAAGCCCTGGCTGGGATAATTTAGTTTGTGTTGGTCCTGCTTTGAGCAGGGGGTTGGACTAGATGACCTCCTGAGGTCTCTTCCAACCCTAATCTTCTATGATTCTATGTACATGCTAGAGTTCTTCTTCACTTCAACCTTAGTCGTACATAAAAAAGCTGAAATTCCAACTCCAAGTTCAAGTGAAATGCTTTATCAATATATTTTTAAATTGCAAATGTTAACAAGAAGTTAGTGTCAAATATGTTGTTCAGGAAATGGTGACAGTTCTCCTCCAATGATGCTAAGCAATTCTGAGGATAGCATGTGAAAACACAAATGTTTACCTTTTTACCTATAATAATTATAGGATTTATTTTTATCCATACATCTTAAAGCTCTTTTACAGATGCCTGTAAGGATTATGGTCCCTGTTCTATAGATAGGAAGACTGAGGCACAGAGGTGGGTGGAGGGAAGTGACTTGTCCAGGATTACACAAAGAATAAATGACAGAGCTAGGGATAGAACCCACGTCGCCTGACTCCCAGCCTAATGCCCTGTCCACAAAACATAGCTGCCCATGATGCACAGCAGCACTTGTTGACATGTTTGTTTTGATATTCTTACAATGTTTTCTCTTAGTTAGTAGCAATGTCGGTCCTAAACAATATTCATTTTACATATGACTGACTATCCAGCTTCTTTTGTCATTCCCACCAAGAGGAATTAACTTGATTGACAGTTTTTGTCTGTGACAAGGTGCCAGATTCCTGAGAGGAGCAGAGCATCTGCTAGTGCCATGGATGTCAATTGGCACTTCTCAGGATCAAGCCTAAATGGTCATTCTGAATTTTGTGACTTATTTGATACATTTTTTTTTTAATTCTCCTTTTTGAAGGAACTGGCAAGAAAATATCCTTTTGTGCAGTAAATCTCAACCAGGTGTGAAAGTGACCTCTATGAGCTTTAACCCCATGAACTGGCACCAGCTTTGTTTGTCCAATGAAAACTCCCTTACTGTCTGGAATATTGAAAGGAACGATCAAGAACATCATCTCAAGTCAAAGTAAGTAACACACCTTCCAGGCTAAAAGAAAACTATAGAGTTAACTTTATTTTAGTGCCTAGGATCACTGACATATATCAGTTTACAAAGACTATGGATCCAATTAAGATTAACTGACAACCCTTTAAATCACAACCAATAAGAACTTTAACTGTCTGTCTCTTGAGTTGTGTGTGTTGAATTTGTGATACCGTTTCCTAGTGCTCAGGTCTCCAGATTACAGCCATGACTATAGTTGATATGAACAGTCAGGTTTGTCAGCAGTCTTTGGTAAGACGTCCAGGATTGAATGCACATGGAGACTGGACTGTCTTCCCACTCCTGCAGGTGGCTCTGCCCTGTCAGTATTCCTCAGTCCTGTTACGGCAATGTAGGAGAGCTTGTACCTCTGCTCCTGCATGTGATTACCATGTTTGGACAGAGTTTCTTGCTTGCAAAGATCATTTAGTAAAGTGGAATGTGTGTATTTTAAAGTAGAAGATGTGGTCACAGACTGATCTGCAAAAAAAAAAAAAAAAAAACATGTTGGGTCCAATGCTTGTTCTCCATGCGACTACCATATCCTGTGTGGTGAGTTTACAAATCCAAAGGTGATTTTTCTAATGCTCAGTGTAATTTGCCCAGCACTGCAGACTCAGGGCTTGTCTACACTTACTTGTTTTGCTGCTTTAACTATACTGGTTGTGTGTGTGTGTTAAAACAGCAAACCATGTGTAGCGTGGATGTATAAAAGTGCTTATACTAGTATAGTTTATTCCAGTTGAAAACTTAAATAAGCTATACTGATCTAAGGTACCATTATATCATTATAACAGTCTACACTAGGGCTTTTACCAGGATGACTATGTCAGCAAAACATGACACCCCCCACAGACACAGTTATGCTGGTAAAATGTGTAAGTGTAAACCAGCCTTTAATGTGGGATCTGAAAATTAAGCTGGATTCTTTTTGCTTTTTATCACTATAAAGTTTACTCAGGAAGATATATTTATTTTTCTCTCTCTTCACTCCAGTCAGCAGGAACTGAAATTTGGTTGAAGGATTATTATTTATTTATACATTTTTACATAAAATTTCATTGTCATAAATCAGCATATTCCCCAAACTACTGCATTCTTGCCCTCCCTTATACATTTTAATAGGTACTCTGCTATCTGATTGGTGATCATACACAAAAGACTCTTTCTGAATGCCATTCAGAATGCAACAGGAGAATAATATTTAGAGCATTTTTCATCTTTAAAGCACTTTTCAAACATTAGCAATGAATCTTCACAACTCCCTGCTAGGAGGGTAATTATTAACCCCAATGCACAGATGGGGAAAACTGAGACCCAGGGTATGACTATACTGAAATAAAAAACCTGCAGCAGCAAGTCTCAGGGCCCAGTTGAACTGACAGTGGGACTAAATATAGCAGTGTAGATGCTCGGGCTGAAGCCCAGGCTCTCAGACCCTCCCCACTCACAGGATTTCAAAGCCCGGCTCCAGCCTGTGTCCAGACTTCTGCACTGCTATTTTTATCCCTGCAGCCCAAGCCCTGTGACCCTGAGTCAGTTGACCTGGGCTCTGAGACTTGGGGCTTGTCTACACTGCGAAGTTGTCAACAAAACTTTTGTCTTTCACGGGTACTTAAAAAAGCCCCACTGTGAAAGACAAAAGTTTTGCCGACGCAAGTGGCAGTGTGAATGTGGCTTTGTCGGCAGGAGCGCTCTCCTGCCGACAAAGCTAACGCCACTCGCGGGGCTGGAAGTGCCGACAAAGAACCGAAAAAGAGCATTCACACACGCTGACTTTTAGCGACAAGGCTGTGTCGATACCGCCTTGTTGCTAAAAGCTGCATGGTGCAGACAAGCCCTTGCTGTCTCTGGTCTTTCATTGCAGTGTAGACATATCCCCAGAGTGGGTAAGTTACTTGCCCAAGACAAAAAGGAATCAGTGTCAGAAGCAGACATTGGGATAGAATGCAGAAGTTCATCGCTGCCAGTTCTGTGCTCAGACCTTAGTTCTCCTGAAGTAAAAAGACTATGTATATGTCTACATTATGGAGACTATACTGGCATAGCTATATTGGCACAGTTATGTCCACATAGCCCCATAGCGTAGACTCAGCCTACACTGCCAGAAGGAGTCACTGTAGGAACACTGCCTCCCTGAACGAAGTTAGCTATATTGACGAAAGCCCTCTTCTATCTACATAGCTGCACCTACGCTAGGGATTTTGCCGTGATAGCGAAAGTGCTCAGTGTGGGTGTTTTTTTCCATGCCCCTGACCGACATAGCTATGCTGGTGTAACTTTTCAGTGTAGACCAAGCCTATTATTCTTTATTGCAACAGTATCTGCCATGTAAACTGCTTGTTTAAATCAGTCTTTCATTATTATAATAGAGGTAAAGTCTTTGTATTAGAACGTCAACAAAGGGTCAGAGTCTCCAGGTTTTGAAAACGTACTTCCCAGTAAAAAGCAACAGAGGGTCCTGTGGCACCTTTAAGACTAACAGAAGTATTGG